TGTCAATATAATGATAATAATAATAATAATAATAATTGATAATAATAATAATAACATGACAATAATAATGATAATAATAATAAATAGCATTTGTACAGCGCATATCCCCGTTGGACAGCAAGCTCTATGCGTTTTACACTATAGGCCTTATTATTGTCCCAGCAGACCATAGAAAAATCAGAAACATTCTCAGTAGCTTCCCGGGAAGCATACAGTGCAAGCTGCTGATTAAGCGCTCAAACACTAACAAACTGACAAGATCTTTCACTTCTATAGCTGGGTTCCCATTCTCACCTGGATGAAGTAAAGAAAATTCGTGTGAAGTGCCTTTCCCAAGGACACAACGTCGGGCCCCTGGCGGGATTCGAACCCATGACCAACTGGTTGCGAGTCTCAGAGACTAACCACTAGGCCACCGACCCCTGCAGCCGTTTGCTCTCTCTCTCTGATGTTATGATACACGTACTTACCACAGGTAAACTTTTCCCCGCCAGCTCCTCCGTTGCTCTCCTCTCTTCTTTCTGGAGAGAGAGAGAGAGAGAGAGAGAGAAAATATTACACAATTTTTCATTTTAGAAGAGGTTTTACGGCACTCGCAACTGCATAAGGTCATAGGAGCGCCAGAAGATTAGAGGTGTTACAAGAGAGTAACAAACATAAAAAAAGAAGAAGGGGAGATAAGGACGATAGATGTTTCACAGGTAAGAAGAAGCAAACCACACCAGAGCACCTGCCAACCACCCACTATTACAAAATTGAAGACAAAAAAAGGAAAGACCTGACAATACAATAATACAAGTACAGTTGACTGCGGATGACTTGATGTAATCAGGGGAGGGAAAAAAAGATCAACTCATCCGAAGTTCAACTTAACCGTTGGGACCTGTAAAGATCGAATAAGAGGTGCTGGGACCTGCGATAAAAAATCAACTTCACCGAAGATCAACTCAAAAGAGTTCAACATCGTCTTGGACAGTCCTCCATAGTCGAGAAGAAAAGTGAACATCTTAGACAGGTGATTCTCTTACACATTGTCATTGTCACGCAAACCCTCTACCTTCATTATTTATAGAGTGATATCCAATAGCATGTAGATGAGTAAAGACTATATAATGCAAACACTCTACCTTTATTACTTTAATTAAAGAGGGATATCCAATGACATATAGATGAGTAAAGACTAGAAGGATAATTCTCCCATCACTTACCTCTGTCGTCGTTGTTGTCATTTTCAGGAAGACCGAAAAAATTCCCCATGTTCGTTATATGGATTCTTCGGTCCATAGAACCATAGAACCTCCAAGGGTCGCTTTCGAGTCCAAGCCTTGGATGTAGAAAATAATGCTGAGGATGAAATGAAAATTAGTTTAGAAGATAAGAGTACACAGCTATGATGCTTTTATTGCTTTTTTTTATTGTCACCTGGGAGTG